TTACAAAGGCCATCCTTCAAAATGTCAAATGTTGACATTTTTTCTGTGTGTTAGTTTATGCTAAAAAAATAAATTTTGGATTTTTCCATTTCTAATGAAAGTAAACTAGGTGTAAATATTAAAAAAAATCTTTAAAGGGACTATCACTTTAAACTAACAAAAATAGGAGCGCTATTTAATAAAGATTTTGATGACGTCGACGGTCAAATATGCGATCCACGTCTGGCTAACGTCACAAAATGGCAATTTTTATTTTACTAAGTAATCTACGTATTTTTGATTTTTTTAAACGCTATGATACGAATTTTTTTGAGACGCACTGTACAAAAAAACATTAGCGAAACGTTTAGTAATCTTCTCTAGAATACACAAACTGAAATTTATACTTTTGGAAGAGTTTTTGTGTCCAGATCTTGTTTATGACATTGATACCTACACTCAATTTATAGCAAATGCATGTAAAATGACAATAAGTCTAAAATACCTCCAAAATAAACCTTAGTCGCAGACAATTATTGATAATTTTAAAAAGTGTGCTTAAATTTTATCATTTTTCGAGTCCAATAACCCTCTATTTGCGACTCTTTCTGGTAGATACAGTAATAACAAAGTTTCAGTACGCACTTTTACATCATCTACACGCATATCTAATTCTATTTTGTGATAAAAATAGTATTTAACTTGCAACATACAGTAAACTTGATAATTTTAATGAGAGTTTCGTTTTGTAATTCTCGAGCAAGTGCTCTCTACTTATTATTTGTTGGCGGTATGAAATTTAATTATTGTACACCAACGTCTATTAATAACAAGTAGGTCACTGCAGTAGTCAATAGATAACGATGTTATGGTGCCCAAAGAATTTTCCCATTAATGTCGTTGTAAATAGGCGTCAAACGACCTATTGTTCTTGCACTTATTTATAGTTCTGTTGCCAATTGTGTTACCTACCACACTACATATGCAAATATTATTTATCAGCATTTCATGCCTGATGTTAGAAAAGACATTTTGTCAATATAGTTTCAAACCTCGTGTGAGAATGATGACATTAAAAAATGGTAGCACGCTAGCACATGTTAGAGGTTTTAATTTTTCCAAAATTCTGATGATCGTATCCGTAATAGCACTGAAATTTACAACAAATCATGTGATTACAGCCCAGTGTATCCGATTTTGAAAATTTGTATAAACTATAAATTCAACAACAATAATTATTTTCAGTACCAATAATCGGTAAGAACTAAGTAATTTAGGATGACCCTCGGAGACCTGAATATTGCGACTTTAACGAAATATTTTGAACCCTCGGTTTATTTGAAAATTCATGGGTTTCTGCAAAAATCTTTCTCCACCATGTTGCAAACTATCACTTTTACATAATCACTTTTATCTGGTAACAACCACATTTGCAAGGAACTACATTCTAAAACCAGGTGTCAAATTCTTGACAGAATAGCTTCCTAGCTGAAACCAAAAATTGATGTTGCACATGCGCAACACTATTTTTTGCGCATGCATTTTGTTAGCTTTTATTAAAAGGACCTACCATCTAAATTTCGTTAAAATTGTTCCATAAATAAGAAAGTTGCATTTCTGCGCATGCGCAACACGATTTTTGCGCATGCATTTTGTTTGCTTTTATTAGGAGGACCTACCATCCAAATTTCGTTTTAATTGTTCCATAAATAAGAAAATTGCATTTCTGCGCATGCGCAACACGATTTTTGCGCATGAATTTTGTTTGCTTTTATTAAAGGGACTTACCATAGAAATTTCGTTTAAATTGCTTCAGAAACAAGATCGTTGCGTTTTGCACATATGCAACACAATTTTTTGACTTTGACAATTTTTTTCTCCGTTTTTTGATAATATAACCCGGCCCAATTTTTTGTAGGTTGTACACAGGAAAATAAGGTCTTCCAAATAATAGAATAAAAATTTTAGGTTGCTATTTGAAAAAAAAAGTTCGATGCCGTTACGGCGCTCCAAAATTTTTTTTCAAAAATCCGGCCCGTTATTTTTCTGTTCGGTATGCCTAAAACATATATACAAAATTTCAACAAAATCCGTCGAGCCGTTTTCTCAGAAAATTGCCAACAAACGTACGTACGTACGTACATACAGACGGAAAAAAATTTTATTCTTTAAAAGTTGCTTAAAATGGTCTAAAACGTCGACATTTGATGAAATTTTGAAATGTTCAAAAAACGGCTATCGCAATAGCTACCTAGCACATGCTAGGAAGCTAAAAATAATGCGAATGTTGGCAACTTCACTTCCTATAATTCCCACATGTGTCGATATCCATACAAACGTCACCACAGTGCCATTGTTTGCAATAACCGACTTGTCAAAAAGCTTAAGAAGTCACCCGCAATTACAAAGGTTTTTGTAATCTCAAAAACTTCATACACTTATTGTTCGTCTAGTATAAAAACATTCACGTTAGTCATCGCAGGTGGCCGCCTACTGCACGTTCTGTTAAAATTTCGTAAAAATCCGGCCAGAATTAAGGTTAGCACTGTCCACAGAAATACTTTTGTGTATAATCTTTCTAATGTGAACGATTCCAGAGTTATGGAAGTATTTTTACTTTTTGCGTCATTTCATATAACATTTTTTTCTGATTTCAAAAATGTAAACATCACAATTTCTTTATTATTGTTAAAATATCTTCGTTGTTCCCTAGAAGATTTGGTCTTGGGTAGTGTACGTACGTAGTTTCTTGCGTTTTTACGAATTAACAGCGCCATTTCTGATTAAAAGATAGTGATTTTTACATTTTTGAAATCAGAAAAAATCCCTCAATCCCTCTCAAATGACACAAAAAGCAAAAATGACTTCCATAAGAAAAAACAAAGTTGATGATAGTTAATCGGAGACGAAACGTCGGTTTTAAAATTTAAAACTAGCATCTTGTAGAGGGTAGAAAGTGGCCATAATAATGTGCCATTTATTTCCAAATATGTTTTTAAATAAGTTCACATAGTTCATTTTTTCCAAAAAATCTAAAAAATACAAAAGAGTTCTACTCTTCCCTCCGTAACTCAGAACCATTTACTTTAGCAAGATTATTATTGGCCATTATTGTTGGCATTTTCATGTATATAAAAACTATTTTCTCGGCCTCCTCTCCCCAAACCTGACGCTTAAAATGGTATAACTCTTTACCAAAGAATATGTAGACTGTATAGAACACTTTGGAGCTGGAGTGAAACTTTTGCTTTAGATGTTGAGGTTTGGGTATAGAATTTTATAAAGACAATAAATCTATACAATGGTGCTTTTGGTTTATTTCCCAACCGTCTTGGTGAAAGAATAACGATTTTGACAGATGTTGATCAAAATAGATGTGGTCAACAAAAATGCATGAAATTTATGTCTTGAGCATTGAGATAATGCTCTTAGCCTTTTTTCCAACGTTCTTGGTGCATGAATAATGATTTTGACATGCTTTGATCTAAAAATGCGTGCATGTGGTGTACTCTTTCAGCATCAAGATAATGGGTTTGAAAGTTTTACAACTCCAAATTTATTTGTAATCAATAATTTTGGGTACATTTTCCTCTAAAACTTTGATCTAGATCACAGAGGAGAGTTTATACTGAATTGCTACACATCTAAGAGTCACAGGGAATAATCTAGAGAAAGTCCGAACTCGATACATGCCCTAGGGAATGAAATATGTTGATTTCTATTATATTGAGCCCACAGTTTTTCCTGTTCTCGTTTCACTAAGTCTTATAACTTTTTTTCCTGTTTTAAAAAGAGTTATATCCTCGGTTATATCGCACACGGACGGACGGATGGACGACAATACATCGGAGGATCCTTAGGCAAAAGTGTCAAATTATGGTATATGAAAAAAATTCATTTTTTACTATAACTTTTTTAGTAATAAGCCCAAAATAAATTCCTTCTTTGGTGCAAGCCTCGACACCATAACCAACTAAATAATAACCAATCAAATAACAAAAAAAGTGGAACCATAGCTCTTAAGATAAAGATCTAGTAGCAACACAGCCATAAGGACGAACAGACGGGCGGACAAAGTGACAATAGCGCATTTCTTTTTATTTTTGTGGAAATGCGTCAAAAAAAGGTTTGCAGTAAAGTTGGTCTCCCCAGCAAATTTACTATTTAGTTTAGTATGTTGGAGCGCTTCATTTTAATTCCAAAACCTGTTACGTAGTACAAATTTTGACATCACTGACAGATACGTCTTGTCCACATGTTCCATTTTTGCTTTGTGAGTACTCTATACGTGGCCTACGCTCGATTTGAACGCTATCGCGTGAGGCAAGTGCGTGTTGGAATTCAGTTACTTTAGAGCTTTAGATAATTAAGTAATATATGCAAATTGTGAGCCTTTCGTGGGTATAGCTCCCAAGCGAAATATTTTCGACTTTTGCTGGGTTTGGAAAAAATTCAGGTATTCAGTTCACCTATATATTTCTCCAAAATTAATAATTTTTTTACTTCTTTAAGTTGTGAATAATGACTAAGCTAAATCATTTTTATGGCAACGCCCTCAGCTGTCTCCGTATTATTTTATTAATTATGCAATCATGTCATTTAAGTCACTTGCCGTGATAACATTTAGAGTATTATACCTAACAATACTGCCAAATAAGTTGAATCGGTTTAGTGAAACCTTCATATGTCACATATGATTTTTCACCTAAAGTTACCTAAAAATTCAGCAAATTATCTACAATGCCTAATTGTTTATGCATTAATTTAATTATATTATGTTAAGGTTTCTGGGAAGAAGTTAACGACACACTATGCGATCAGAACCGCGAAGAATATAATAAATGTGTGCAAAAAATCCTTTTAAGTAATGGTTCGCATTTTCTCCTCAAAATTATGAATGTCAAGTAAGAATGTGCTTTATTTAAGCTACCATGTAAATGTGATTGCGATGTTGATAACAGGCAATACGCATATGCTTAATCCTTAATGTGCGAAAGTAACGAATTCTCTTTTTTTTGCAGAGTGAAAAAACGCCTATTAAGTCTAGTCCATATTCCTTATCACCACTAAGTGTTAGTAGTCAACGACTGTTACGATCACCTCACAAAGCTACACGAAAGATATCTAGAATTCCTTTTAAAGTACTCGATGCACCTGAATTACAAGATGATTTTTATTTAAACCTCGTCGATTGGTCCATTCAGAACGTGCTTAGTGTTGGTTTAGGTAGCTGCGTTTACCTATGGTCCGCATGCACTAGTCAGGTAAGGTGATTGTGAAAAATGCGTTTCTGGTACAATTGAAGCGGCACGAAATTTTACTTCCCATTCAAATCTTACATCTCATCCCTTAGATGGCTAATAAAAAAATGATTCCAATTTGAGAACTGTTTGTAGGTTACCCGCTTATGTGACTTATCTTCGGACAATAATGCAGTCACCTCGGTCGCTTGGAGCGAACGCGGAAATTTAGTAGCTGTCGGCACTCACCTTGGCTACGTGACAGTGTGGGACGTCGCTGTTAATAAACAGGTTAATAAATTAATAGGTCATACTGCGCGTGTAGGCGCGCTTGCATGGAATGGAGATGTTCTAAGCAGTGGAAGTAGAGATAGGTCGATTTTACAGAGAGACACGAGGACTGCAGGTATTTCTTTTGTTTCCTACCGTTTGCTGCATCTCACTAATTTTCTAATAGGATCAGCACCTGAAAGGCGACTATCGGGTCATAGACAGGAAGTGTGCGGTTTAAAGTGGTCACCTGATAATCAATACCTCGCATCGGGTGGTAACGACAATCGTCTGTACGTGTGGAACATGCAGTCATTATCACCCGTGCAAACGTACACCGACCATTTGGCTGCGGTTAAAGCTATTGCATGGTCCCCTCACCACCACGGCCTGTTAGCGTCCGGTGGAGGCACAGCAGATCGTTGTATACGGTTTTGGAATACTCTCACTGGTCAACCAATGCAGTATGTTGATACTGGTAAGGTCTACCATGTATTTTTTATATATTATATTATGTCTTTCTTTTAATTGTAGGTTCTCAAGTATGCAATTTAGCTTGGTCGAAACATAGCTCCGAACTCGTTTCCACACACGGTTACTCGCAGAATCAAATTTTAGTTTGGAAATATCCTAGTCTGACTCAAGTCGCTAAGCTCACCGGACATTCGTACAGAGTATTGTATTTGGCATTATCTCCCGATGGAGAAGCTATTGTTACCGGCGCAGGTGATGAAACCCTACGATTTTGGAATGTGTTCAGTAAAGCTCGCTCCCAAAAGGAGACGAGATCAGTATTAAGCCTGTATACAGGTATTAGATAAATTATCGTCGATTCATTTAGTATTTTAAAAAAATTATAAAATATGGGAAGTTATTGATTTATTTTATATTATACAATTTACAATATTATTTATATCTCGATTTTTAAAGTTTTAGGTATTGTTGTTTTGCAATATTTATAATTTATTCAACTATGTGATCCATACACATAATAATTTCAGCATTTATTTATTATATTTTTTTAAGTATCGCCATATACTTTAAATAATGCCATTGATATCACTGTCACATCCGTAAACTTTAAAGTCACCATATACAGTTAACACAGTTAGTATATGCTTGATGCCGAAGCAAATAGTCATTAGATTTTAAGACTTTGAAGGAAAAGTACAAATGTTTAGATTTAGTTATTTTATTTTAAGAATTAACATATATGTACCTTAGGTTATTGTATAAAGACTACTATTTCTGTTATACATTTTAATTTTAAATGATTATCATTGCTTTGTAATTGATGTGTTATTTTTGAGCAAATGTGTGATGCAGGTTTTGAGTAAAAAGGAATTGATTACTTACTTACTGCTTTTATATAATCGCCAGTGCAAGTCATTGCCTGTTTATTTTGCCAATTTACACAGATAAATTTGAATTTAATAACAGTAACAGTTATGGATTAACAGCCACAACATTTACACATCATCTACACGCTTTACAAGTTTTATCATACATACCACACCAACATGCAAAAAGTCATAGTGAAAACAATGAACATCATTAGAAAATTCCATTATTTGGGTATGACACAGTATGGTCTTGAAAATCCTAGGTAATTGGAGCTGATGGTCCAAATGTTGAAAAACTCAGATTACACAAAAACGGTGAAGTGGGATCCTACTTAGTAGCAGACAATAACGCATCATCTATTTTTAGAACTAGGTCTGTGAGACTAGAAATTCCATTGATCTTCAACACGTCACCCACTGGCTTGGGGTGAGTAGCGCACTGCGATTAGGTACATGTAAATAAAATAAGGTTTAGAGTTTTCAAGTTTTTTTTTCTTTTGGACCTCTGGATACCATGATTTTACTGTAAACAAAATTAAAGTTATTTATACAACAAGGCCTCCAAGAGTTAGATTGTAATACACGTCTACCAGCACAGTCATGAAACCTTGATTTTCTTGCCTACTTTATATCAGAATATTTTAGTTTCCATGACAGAGACTACTTTTCCTGCCGCCCGCGGCCGCACCTGTCATATTGCAAAATGTCTATTATAATGACTGCTGTCGTCACTGACAGATTGTAATTAAAATACACACATATGCAAATTGAGCCTTGTGTATCCTATTGTAGCTCTCTATCGGCTATACAAGGAAATCTTATAGGATATGTTTGTCAATGGTCTGGGGGCAAAACGGAACTTTTAATATCACATTCGCTCAAAAGTAAAAATTTTTATAGAATTTTGAACAAATTAATTGCGAATGTGTATATTCGCCTATTTTGTATGTTTTATTAAAAAAAATCGACTTTTCTAAGAAATTGAGTGTAGCAGTCAAAGTGTTAAAATACATTTCAGGTAGAATGTAATACAAAACCCGTCAGTAAAATGACTAGGAAATTAATAATAATAGTAATGCCTTTATTGAGTAGCAGCTGCAAAGTATGAAAGGAAAGTGATAGCACAGGTGATAGTAATAATTACAGCTCAAAGGGCGGAGTTCAGCTTGTAAGAAAAATTACTCGCTGCTCTTTCACTCAACCCATAACGATTGTTTAAATGATCACATAATGTTATAAATTTAGTTGTATGCGTCATGTGACAAGAAAAAAAAAAGAAAAAAGTACAGTACAGTAACATTGTAACATCTACGCGATTTTAGCACACTACCTGACCACTATACCTGAGCTTGTAGCATGATCGACTTGCACATGCGTTTAAATTGTTTTTGATTTTTCGATTTTAGAGAATTTGGGAGAGGATTATACAATTTGTAGATGTTAAAAGTGAAGCATTTTTCAAAAAACTTATCAACCCCCTGAACCTCAAATTTAAATTATGAACGTCTGTTCTGTAAGTTATTTTATCATACAAATACGTACGCTATGATAAGCTATGCAGATCCCTTCGCTTTTGCATATTCAACCACTTCGCTTCCTTTAGCTTATAAGAAATACGTTGGAATTTCCTTATACAGGGCCGCCGTTAGCCTCGACGGGCCCCGGGAATATTTTTTGACCGGGCCCCTATAATTGAAATTTTTGTTATCCATCACCCTTATCTTAAACTGGACATTTTCAATCTTGACTACTTAGATTTGAAACGAGAACATTTGAATACAGACACAGTAATTTTCATAATTTATTATGAATTGTTAGAATTCAAATTACATTTTAACTCTGCGGATTTTCTTATTAGCAAAAGTGATCACTCGCTCAAAATTTCTCTAGCAAGTTGAGCTTCAAGAGCTAATGTACCGAGATTGATCTAACTATCTTGACCCATAGTCGATCTCAAACGGTTTTTGACCTAGCGAGCCTTCTGTCACGGTGGCGTAATTAGGAAATTTTGCTCAATGGTATGGTTTTTTAAATCTTCTACTGTGCATTTTTTTAATATTCTACTCTCTCATATAGATTCAGATTTCTGTTAAAAAATACAATTAAAAATCAGATTTCAAAACCTCTTTTGGCCGGGCCCCCAGAATATGACCGGGCCCCGGGGCAAATGCTCCGGCTGACGCCCCTTATCGGCGGCCCTGTCCTTATACCAAATATTAATCGCAAGCATCCATATTGGAGCCACTATAGCTCAGTGGTTCTCAAATTTCTTTCCATATGGCCTCTCTTTCTGAAAACTAAACTGTGCTCATACCGGCCCCCTTTGCCCGATTAAAAAACAAAAACTGCTTTTACTACAAAAAAAACGTATTTATTAAAAAATTGCATGTCGGATACAAAGCCGCTTAAAAAGTTATGCTCTGATTAGTTTTTGATGCCAAAGTCTCTTGTAGGTCTACAAATAGCGGAATTATGGCCACACACGGAAAAGGCCATTTTCGAGCACACTCGCCAGTTCATTTATTTTGAAAAAATAAGTTTAACAAACCCGTAGTGATTTTTTCTCAGCTTTAATGATGCTATAATAAAATGTTTGACTAATATAGTAGGTACCAAGAAAGGGTATATTTTAATCCTACGGGTGCAGATTGTGGCCCAAAATAAAGTAGTTGAGGCATAGAGCTTCCCCTATGTTAAGGGTAAGGGCAAAGCACCCGATGGATTAGGACGCACTCTGCACGCGTTTTTTTGTACTCGTCTACAGTAGGCATGTCAAACTCGAGGGCCGCATCATAAAATACTCAAAAACTCAAAAGCATATTTCTCCATTAAATATTCTAATTCAGCCATAAATTCCAATTTGCCACATCTACGGGCCGCATCATAAAATACTCAAAAACTCAAAAGCATATTTCTCCATTAAATATTCTAATTCAGCCATAAATTCCAATTTTTCTATAATTAAATGGGTAGGTTGAAAGACGAAGATAAACCAATTTAAATCAATAAGTATAGTAACACTTTTTCGTAGAAATACACGTCATCACGCAGAATTGGCTATACCTACCTACTGATTTGAATTTGTACCCCATATAGACAGCGTATTTCTGAATAGGTTAATGTGCATGTCGTACGACATGCACATTAACCGTAGTACGTTCAAATTAACAACTCAGAATGGATATCTTTTTGTTTATTACTGCCATTTTATTTGTATGATCTGGTCTCTTAACTTAGTTAATTGATTATTAAAATGTAGTAAATATCTGTATGAAATGTGTTCCACACCTTGGAATAATTAAAAATGTTATATTTTGCGCTATGGTAGCTACTTTCAATGACCGTCCGGTCGTACCATTAGTAAAGATTGGTACTTTTACACGTTTTGCCATAATTATATAGGATATATACTGAGTTGTTACATTCCATATAGCTTACCTACCTGTACTGCAGTATACATCGGATTCCTTGCTTCCAAAATAATACCAGAAAATATTTGTTAACTACTGGTTTTTAACTTTTCTAATGTTTTCGTTAGGGAGTCAAGAATTGGGGCTAGGGGGGTAGCTGACAAAATTATTGACAAATTTTAGTAATATGCCTACTACCAAGTTCCTGGCTATGCTTGTATTGAAACATGATTCCAAGATCAGATCAACATGATCTCCTTCTGGATTCACCATACTGGTATCTATAGACCTACACCACACAACTGACAGGGCTTCGGGATATCATCATCCTGATATATTTATTCCTATAAATTCAGGAAAGACTAGACTATTGACTTGCTTGTTTACATTCAGTAGCTAGCATATATAAACCAAAGAAATTCAAATTATACTAGTACAGTACCCAATTGTGAAACAACAAATAAGATGGAAAATATGTGGGCGTTTCACAATTTCTCACAACTTAAAACAAAATGCATATTGCAATATGGCTACATCTAGCGAGCGTTCAAATGTTTTCTTTCATACAATTTTAGCCGGCACTAATAAGTTTAAATCCGGGTTCAGGGATATTTGTAAATGCATAGTGGATTAGGTTGGTAGAGCAGCCTTGGCTCAAATCCTGTCCACTAGAAAATATTTTATTGGATTGGGCACAAATGCAGTATCGGTGGGTTCCTAACGAGCTCATTTCAGAATTAAGAATTCAGGTTAAACTGTGGACTGTGATAAAAAACTATGATCAAGAATAAAAATACAAAAATTCTGAAAATTTATTTCTTATATCCATAAGTAGAAGTCCCATCCATTCTATATCTGTTCTATCTACACATTAGATTATTTATTTAAGCAGGAATATATTTGCATAAACATATTGAGCGCACAACCAACACAGTGCTTCCTTAGCAAATTAATATGTAAGAGTATGCGAAATAAATGCAAATAAATAGTGATCATAAATAAACCAGCACAGCCATGGTGAACAGTGAATGCTACGAAATAAGTATATCCAACGCCTTATCACGATCATTATTACATTGCAATAAAGCACGAGACACCTCCTCTTCGGAAAAGCCTAAATCCAACAGTTCGCTCATTACTATCAAATGTTCCACAATCTGCAAAAAAGGTCAGTTAGTTTTATTGGGATTAACAAACAGAATTACCTTTTTTTGATTATCGCCAATGGTTTGACAAACACGCGCTACCCTCGATAGTGGAAATCCCATTAAGCTAATGTCTTTGGAGAGATATTGTAAATTTTTTGGTAAATGACTAAATACATCATCTAAATCTATCGATTTAATAACAACCTCGGTGCTACTTTCTTGAGATTTATTTGGATCACTTGGTACTCCATTTTGGCAAATTTTCGTACTTTTCAGTTCAGATTCTAGAGTCTTCATAATGTCAGGTATGCTTTTTGTATTTTCTTTAGATAATTTACTAGAGGAATTGTCGTAA